TCTCCTCTCCCTCTCTCTCTCTCTCTCTCTCTCTCTCCTCTCTCTCTCTCTCGCAACCCCTTATCCTAGTAAACCCGTGGTCATACTGGAAAGGTAAGCCCTCGCAGCAAGAAGGCCAGGGTGTGGGGCGACGACGGCGAAGGCTAAGGGTCACCTGCAGACGCGGCGGAAAAAGCTGGTGAACAGAAAATCCGGTCTCCACCGGAACGACGTCGGAGGCACCAGAGCAGGAGGCAAGTCGTGTCTAGCTCCAGCTATACTAGAAAGCTTACATGCGCGGGCAAGTTGTTTTCGAAAGTTGTAATTTGCTAGGGTAAATTTTCATTTTGTCCAAAAATGCACGGTTCATTGTTCATTATGTAACGTTAGTGATTGATGATACATTATTTATACATCGCTGCGCGCGGTGAAAAACAGAAAAAATGCGCAATATATTGCGCGCACGCAAGTTTCCAGTCTGGAGCTCCAGCCGAGACCAAGGCGTCGATGGATCTTTCAAGGTTCCGAGTGGACAGACAGAGCACCACCTGTTCCGGAAGCAGTTCAAAAGAGTGGCGGAGGACAAGGCCCTAGACACTACCTGTCTCCAGATAGTCTGGAAGTATTAATGAAGCACCGCACCGAGCCCTGCACGAAGAGGCCTCAAGGGACGGATACGTCAGGGATGCTGGATGAAACCATTATAATGGGGGAACCATATGGTATAGTGACAAGATGACCTTGGTAACGGCATGCTGCCATCTGGCATTCATCTCAGCTTCTGTCCCTGAGGGTAGGTTCTTGCGCCTTCCCACGATCCGAGACCATCATGTCACCGCTCCACGATGCCCATTTAGGACCCGGTAGCTACGCCCCTAAATCTGCTGCCGGGTATCCTGGCCCGCTCGACGCGTGCGCGAATGGGTTTGTGTTTTGGCGGAGAAAAAGGGCGGGGGGGGGGGGAGAGAAAGAAGAGAGAGAGTTCGAGGTCGAGGTAATGAGAAAGAAAGAGAGGGAGGAAGGAAGGGAGGGAGAGTGCGAGGTAATGAGAGAGAGAGGGGGGAGGGAGAGAGATGGAAAGAGGAGGAGGTATGGTGTAATGAGAGTAAAAGAGAGAGAGATAAAACAGACAGACAGAGAGATAAACAAAATGGGAAAGAGAGAGATGAGACCAATGACTCAGGACACAGTTTTATTCGTATAAATACAGGTCTTACGATGCTTTGTCAATGTGAAAGCCATATATGTAATATTTATGAAGGTAAAAACTGGAATACTCCCCAATTGACGGAACTTTCCGTTGCCTGTCGCCATAGCCTTCCATGCAAGGAGTTAACTCGGGATTCAGCACTTTAAGGATTAAGTAAATGACTATCATAGAAGGACTAATTAGCATTACCAATCAGCATAACAGTTTATCAGTGACATGTAATAACTTAGAATAAGGAAAAGGAAATAGGTAATTGACAGTGACATTTGAAGACTAGTGCGTCTAGAGAAGGAAATACGGCTTTGGGAAGATGTCTACTCTCCAAGAAGATTTCAAGCCTAAAAAGAGAGGCTTTGGGGACGTAAACATTAAACGGATGGTTGGGAAAAGATATCCTATAATAACGTTTTATTTGGGCAGACATATTACGTCACTGCTGGCTAGGATTTTTAATGCATTATAGATTCCAGGTAAGAAAAATTGTACGATTGTTTCACATGCACCTGGAAGCTTGATTATTACGTATTATGACTGATAGATAGATTAGTAAATAGATATACTAGTAGAGGAAAACATGCAGATTTACATATACAGTATTGAAAATAGTATGCAATATTGGAAAAAGGTATGCAGACAGCATTATACGTACATTAATACTCAACAACAAAAGCACAAAATGCATTGACAGGATATATCAACGGCCATAAAAAAGTCACAGTATTGGAATCTTCCGTCAGTATCGCTCTCAGCATGGATGGGTCTTTCCGCCCAAGAAGTAACAGCTGGCAACTCATTCACACTACTCTTGGCGATCGTTACCAAATAAAAGTCACGATGGATTTACTACGCTCGAAGACAGAAATGCTACGTTTTCACCACTTGACATTGTGGAAAGGCTTCAATAAGTCAGTTCACGGGTGAAGTTCTTTTTACTCGTTTCGCTGTTAAAAAATATCATCGTTAGTTCCAGTTCATATCACTTGGGCCAACAAACAATCGGTTCACTTTGTTACACGTTATGATTCACGTCCAAGGGATTAATAAAATCTGTAGTACATCGCGCATGTTTTATAAAGGGAAGATGTATATTTGTCGACCATTTATTTTTCATATTTAGTAACAAAAGTTCGATATCATCTTATTTCCAAGTCTCCATTCATAAATCGTGACGAGTATAATTTACTCTGAGATAGTGCACACTTTCCTAAATTGATTCCATCGAATCAGTGACTACCACTGGAAATGCTTAGGCCTGTTCTTGCTTTTTGCTTTCTAAACAGCAAGACGTATTCATAATTTAGATTAATGGTAATATATATATATATATATATATATATATATATATATATATATATATATATATATATAACTAGTTTGGAGGTTGGTCGTGCTATCTGTCGTGTTATGTTGCTCAGTGAACTTTTTTTTTCTTTTTCTTTTTTTTTCTTTTTGAGGCTGCCCCTATTCTTTGGACAACCCTATCCGGGCTCCATCATCAGTGGAGTACTATTTTTTACATAGTACTCAATGAAAAGGAAGCTTCTCTTCTTAATATGCTTCCATCTGCATTGTTAATCAACTCTAAAACGTGTGTACAGCGCAGCGTAATACAGTAGACCAAGTTTCGGATGAATAGTATAGCTACTGGTATGCATTTTCGATGTATATTAATCGGAATAAGCTGTATGATTATTGATGTTAAATGCTTAATTCTTGATAATTCGATATAATATATTAAATAAGCAAATGAATTGAGAGGATGAAAGATTTGAAGATACATGTTTTTTTTTTTTTTTTTTTTGTCAAACGCATATAATAACAGAGTAATGGAGCTTTAAACCAGTCAGATTACAATACGTTTAAGGTATTATCAATATATAAGTCGTAGGAGAGAGCAAGGTCCATGGGAGAGAGTGCCCTGGAGTTGTAGGGTCCATGTCTATAAACGTATATGCATATTTGTGTGTGTGTGTGTGTGTGTGTGTGTGTGTGTGTGTGTGTGTGTGTGTGTGTGTGTGTGTGTGTGTGTGTGTGTGTGTGTGTTTGTGCGTTTTTATGTGTGCGTGCGTGCGTTTGTATGTGTGCGTGCGTGCGTTTGTATGTGTGCGTGCGTGCGTTTGTATGTGTGCGTGCGTGCGTGCGTGCGTTTGTATGTATGCGTGCGTGCGTTTGTATGTGTGCGCAAGGTCTATATAAGTACTTATATAGACCGTGTGTGTGCGTGCATGCGTGCGTGCCACCGCGCAACCCATGTAAAGGCGCTTCAGTTCTGTGGTCATTATAGGGCCTTGAGGTCCCTACATTTGCTTGCTAGAAACTGTGATCTAAGTCCCAATTCACTATATGGTTACTCAGGAGCTTATGCTACTTTGTTCTACCTCGATTCAGGGTCATTCGTGATGTGGCGTGGAACTCGTACGTGATTGATCGCCATGCGCCGCATACGTTCACGGGAGAGTAAAGCAGAAGCACTACATGGTAGCGGATGTCTAAGAAACCCGAGACAGAGTGGTGGAAGCTTTATCAAATGTTGCAGTACAATATGCAATAGCATGAGAGGACTGGAGAGATAAATTTGTTCTTATTTGGTGGATACTTTCAACCCGTTGCTGGTGATGATGGTGCCATGTAAAACACATTTAAAACAATGCTACAACCTTATATCATGGCTTTCTTAAAAACAATACTACAACCTTATATCATGGCTTTCTTAAAAACAATACTACAACCTTATAGCATGGCTTTCCTTCACCAGAGAAATCGCCAGGACACTTTTACAAAATGGAGTGTGATGGTTAGGTCTTGTTCCATCCTTCTTGCATATCACCCTAACTGTTTGAATCATTTTGCCAAAGTAGAGGGAGGTTCCGATGTTGATTTACTACCCAATAAAACACATAAAAACAGGAACAATCAAAGATAAAATTGACTGCCCAAAAATCCACCTTAAAGTGCCTGTGCTCTGTGATACAACAATAACCTACAATTGAGACCTCAAGGTTCTATGCCAGAAATGGCATAGATCTTGGATTGGCTTGGTTTACCTGATAATTTCGTCTCAGGGGCATCAATCCAGCTTTTTCAGGTGGGGCAAAGGGGGGTAGGCAAGCAAAGCGAGCACAATCAGCTGGGGGCTTCAGCTGCTATAACCAAAGCTATGTAGGTGTAACATTGGCAAACATAACCAAAGGACTAATAGCAAAAATATACAATCCCCAGCCCCCAACTGACACCCCTGCTACATATTCTGCATCAACATGCATATATACATTACAGCAGCATTTAGCACAAAAATGTTCTTGCCAGTACTGAAAATAAAAACACAAACAATACTTCCTCTCTCTCTTTTTATACCCCATAATAACTTGAAACACTTCATAGTATTACTATTAGAGAGGGAGATGGGAAGAGTGAAAGGGAGGGAGGAAGAGGAAGAGGAGGGAAGAGAAGGGGAGAGAAAGAGGCAGGGAGGAAGAGGGAGAGGGAGATGGAAGGAGGAAGAGGGAAAGGCAGTGGGGAAGAGGGAGAGGGAGAAGAAGGAGAGGAGAGGAGGAGAGGAAGAGGAGAGAGAGAGAGAGAGAGAGAGAGGGAGGTGTGAATGAGTGGAGTGAGTGAGTGTGATTGAATGCCTGCATGTATGTGTGAAAGTGCATCACTAAATAGATTATTGCTAATTAGAAATAACTAATGAGATCTATGATATATATGCAGCAGGTGAATTACAGTTACAATGAATAATGGTCACTGGTAAAAAAAAAATTACTTTAGATATGTATATATTGTTTGGGAATCTTTAAATAAAACATTTTTCTCTAAAACTGCTCTTTATTTCCTTTCTGTGTTGAGTTTTGTCTTTCTATATATTGTTCATTTTACAAAAGCAGATCACTGAGTTGAAAATGCACAAATAGTTCAAAATACAAGTAAGTTCCTTTTTCTTTTCAATTAATAGGTATAACACAAACATAGTACATGTGAAGACTATTCAAGATTTTAGCTCTAGTAGTTCAATAATTATTTATTTTTTTCAAACTGTTACGTAATAAATAATAATTAAAAGTGCAGGCCTATCATATTTTCATTTTGCCAAAAGAATTTCAATAATATAATTCAACAATTCTCTTCAACCGAAAACAAGAAATTGCTCTTGACGTGCACCTAGTCATGGAATCAAATGTGAATTCAAGAAATGAGGGTAGCCTTAGTGATATCACAGAAGTTAAATGGCACTTGCTGCTCGTGTCTAATGTTGAATTGACAGATATCTTCGCATATCTACTCAACTGCTCAAAAACTGGTTTAGGTATTAGTAAAGTACAAATTAATGAAATAAAGAGGGATACAAGAGAAACCATGAAGAATGAGTAGATAAAGAGAAAATTATTGAATAGGAGGAAGAGAAAAATCAAGGAAGTACGAGAGAGAGAATGGATGAATCAATATATTACTAAAAAAAGACAGATAAAGAGATAGTGAGTTAATGAAAAGAGAAAAATACAGACAGAATGTTGATGAAGGTTGCTTGGAAGAAGAGTAAGGCCTTGGGAGAGGAAAAGCTTCTGTGACACTACCAAGGCTTCTCACACTTCTTGGATGTCATCAAAATTATGAATATTTATTAATTTCATTTGTGGATTAAATTCATTTTATGATACCAGAAAGTTAGCTTTTACTAAAAAATAAGAACGGTTTCTCAGCCCTGACCTTTAACATCATTTAAAGCCACAAACAAAGTAAATACATTAATTTACTTTGATAAATATATATACATTGTTACAAATGTTAAATACTTAAAGGTGTTCTTTATCTAAATTTTTTAATGATGAAAACTATTAAATAAATTGAATTTCAGTACTAAGTCACACAAGCCCTTGAGAAAAATTTAAGTTATATATCTCTTTCACAAACAAAATCCTGAACTACACTAACAATTACAGGTACTTGTTGATTACTAGAAATAATAAAAATACAAATATGGGAGAATCAACAAACGGAATTATATTGAAACTTAGCTAAAAGTAATATCATACACATAAAATCTTTCCATATGATTAACAAATATCAGCGTCAATAACTAAAAGAAAATATTTTGCAATATTCAAAATGTAAAAATAGTTCTGATCTTAAATAGAAATGCAAATGTATACATTCACAATATCAGCTGAATCACAACAGCTATCTTCACACTTTATACATTTATTTAGAATGGAGGACTTGAATTTTTTCAGCGCTACCCACACGAGATGTAAAAATAAGTCAAAACAGTCTTCTAAATCATGGACATTTTTTTTTTTTTTTGAATAACAATTCTTCCTCTCCTCAATTACAGAAAATCCTAATTACAAACAATTAGCAAATGTGAAACTCTTACATATACAAAAATGATGCTTTGAATATACATTAAACAATTTTCCATTTAATTTTAAATCTATTCAGAAGTCAATTACTAATGGTGTTATAGATGCATCTTAAATAAAACAATGTAAGTACAAACATGTACCATTTTCAAAAAATAATTATCTTTACTTCTTTAGAGTACTCTAACAACAGCCTCTTACAGGATATAAGTTAAGGTTCAAAAAAAATCTTCCACTTTTATTCTCACTTGTACATTACACAAATTATGTTCACCATTCCAATTCTTGACCATTCAAGAACTACAGAATCACGCATAACTTAAATAACACTAAGTTGAAAACAAAACTACAAAACACTAAACATAAAAAAAACTGCAGAAAAATGCACAGTTTCATTGTACATAAAAAAGTTGAAAACAAACTTCCATAGACAAACATAACAAAAGATGTTTCATACAACGGGTAACTGAAAAAAGTACAGTATATTCATACATCTGAAGAGTACAAACTGTAACATACTAAATCACAGACAATATGAGAACATGATAAATTTATTTTATCCTCAAAATAAAATAGTTTCTGCACAACAATTATGAACATAAACAGTAAAGTACATTAAAATACCTGAAGGGTGTTCTTCACTGGACAAGTTATTTTCATATATTGACATAATTAAGTACCGTATATTAAAGAAAAATATATTATACAAGACCTGCATCTTTGGCCATTGAATAGAATATTGATTTCTTGTCTTTTAACAGGTTTTCCGGGGATTCAAATTCTCGGATCTCTCCTTTGTCTAGGACCAAAACTCTGAAATGAAACAAAATGCAAAGATCCTGATACATCTTTAAATACAATCATATATTTCATCATCTAAAATATCATGAGCATTCAACTGCTGTTCAAAAACTTACAATCATAAAATTATATATAAAATTAAACTGAACCAAAAAACAAATATTAATCAACAAATTATTTATAAAAACTGACACTCAATAAATAAATTCTGGTAAAACTAATCCAAGCCTTCACTTACCTTGACGAGTCCATGATTGTGTTCAATCTATGAGCAATAGTGATCACAGTGCAATCGGCAAATTCCCGGCGGATAGTCTGCTGAATAAGGTCATCAGTCTCCAAATCAACAGCTGCTGTGGCCTCATCTAAGACCAGCACCCTTGTTTTGCGGAGGAGAGCTCGAGCCAGACACACAAGCTGCCTCTGGCCAACACTGTCAGAGAATGCAAGAGGTGGTCAGGCAGGCTAGTGTGAAGTAATTAAGTAAAAAAGAAGAAAAAAGTGGTAGGAGATTCTCATGAAACTTTCACACTTAAAGAGGAATGGAAAAAAAAGGAAGTATGGAATGATGAAAAAAATAATAATAACAATAAAAAAAAATTAATAATAAAATAAAAATAAAAAGGGGGAAAGAGAGAGAGAGAGAGAGAGAGAGAAAATAAGTGGGATAACACAACAAAGATGAATGGCAAGAACAACGAGAACTTGAACAAAGAGAACAAGAAGAAATACAAAAAGAAGAGATTGCCACCACTCACCTGAGGTTTTCACCTCCTTCAGACACTTCATGCTGAAGTCCAGCATTGAGGCCTGAAACGAAGTCCTTAAGATGAGAATGTTCCAGAGCTGACCAGACCTTCTCATCATCATAGAGGTTGAAAGGGTCCAAGTTCATGCGAAGCGTACCACTGAACAGCACAGGATCCTAAATGGAAAAAAATAAATAAGTTCTATTTGAAAAGCATATATCAATTTATATTATATTTACATTGGGTTACATTCTATATGGTGGTGGTGGTAGAGGTGGTGTTTGGTGGTGGTGGATGTGTTGTCTGGTGGTGTTTGGTGGTGTTGTTTGGTGGTGGTGGTGTGGTGGTGGTGGTGGTGGTGGTGGTGGTGGTTGGTGGTGGTGTTGGTGGTGGTGTTTGGTGGTGGTGGAGGTGGTGTTTGGTGGTGTGTGGAGGTGGTGTTGGGGTGGTGGAGGTGGTGTTTGGTGGTGGTGGAAGGTGGTGTTTGGTGGGTGGTGGAAGTGGTGGTGGTGGTGGTGGTGTGGGTGGTGGTGAGGTGGTGGAGGTAGTGTTTGTGGTGTAGAGGTGGTGTTTGGTGGTGGTGGTGGTGGTGGTGTGGTGGTGGTGTGGTGTTTGGTGGTGGTGGTTGGTGGTGGGTGGTTGTGTTGTGGTGGTGGTTGGTGGTTTGGTGGGTGTGGTGGTGGTGGTGTTTGGTGGTGGTGTTTGGTGGTGGTGGTTTGGTAGGTGGGAGTGTGTTTGGTGGTGGTGGAGGTGGTGTTTGGTGGTGGTGGAGGTGGTGTTTGGTGGTGGGGAGGTGGGTTTGTTTGGTGGGTGGTGGAGGGTGGTGTTTTGGTGGTGGTGTTTGAGGGTGGTGGTGAGGTGTTGTGGTGGTGGTGGAGGTGGTGTGTTGGTGCGGTTTGTTGAGTGTGGTGGTTGGTGGTGGTTTGGTGGTGGTGGAGGTGTGTGTTGGTGGTGGTGGGTGGTTTGGTGGTGGTGGAGGTGGTGTTTTGTGGTGGTGGAGGTGGTGTTGTGTTTGGTGGTGGTGAGGTGTGGTGTTGGAGAGGTGGTGTTTTGGTGGTGGTGGGTGGTGGTTGGTGGTTGGTGGAGTGGTGAAGGTGGGTTGTTGGTGGGTGGTGGTGGAGGTGGCGGTGGTGGAGGTGTGGGTGGTGGTGGGGTGGTGTTTGGTGGTGGTGGAGTGGTGCGTGGATGGAGGTGGTGTTTGGTGGTGGTGGAGGTGGTGTTTGGTGGTGGTGTGGTTTTGGTGGTGGTGGGAGTGGGTGGTGGTTGGTGTGGTGGTGGTGGAGGTGGTGTTTTGGTGGTGGTGGAGGTGGTGTTTGGTGGTGGTGAGACGGTGGTGGTGGTGGAGGTGGGTTTGGTGGTGGTGGTGGGTGTGTTGGTGGTGGTGGAGTGGGTGGTGTTGGTGGTGGGTGGTGGTGGGAGGTTGGTGGGTGGTGTGGTGGAGGTGTGTTTGGTGGTGGTGGAGGTGGAAGGTGGTGTTTGGTGGTGGGGAGGTGGTAGAGGTTGTTGGTGGTTGGTGGTGGTAGGTGGTGGTGGAGGTGGAGGTGGTGTTTGGTGGTGTGGAGGTGGTGTTGGTGGAGGTGTGTTTGGTGGTGGTGGTAGTGGTGTTTGGTGTGGTTGGTGGTGGAGGTGGTGGTTGGTGGTGGTGTGGTGGAGGTGGTGTTTTTGGTGGTGTGGGAGGTGGTGGTGGTGGTGGAGGTGGTGTTTGGTGGTGGTGGAGGTGTGAGGTGGTGTTTGGTTGGTGGTGGAGGTGGTTTAGGTGGTAGTGGTGGTGTGGTTTGATGTGTGTTTGGTGGAGGGTGGTGAGTGTGTGGTGGGGTGGTGCTTGGTGGTGGTGGAGTTGGTGTTTGGTGGTGGGTAAGAGAGGTGTGGTTTGGGTGGTGTTTTGGTGGTGGTGGAGGTGGTAGTTTGGTGGTGGTGGTGAGGTTGGTGTTTGGTGGTGGTGGTGGAGGTGGTGTTTGGTGGTGGTGGAGGTGGTGTTTGGTGGTGGGTGGTGTTTGGTGGTTCGGTGGTTGGAAGGTGGTGTTTGTGGTGGTGGTGAGGTGGTGTTTGGTGGTGGTGGAGAGAGGTAGGTGGTGTTTGGTGGTGGAGGTGTGGGTGGAGCGTGTGTTTGGTGTGGTGGAGGTGGTGTTTGGTGGTGGTGGTGTGTGTGGTGGTGGTGTGGTGGTGGTGTGAGGTGGTGGTGGAGTGGTGGAGGTGGTGTTTGGTGGGTGGGTGGTTTTGGTGGTGGTGGAGGTGGTGTTTGGTGGTGGTGGAGGTGGTGTTTGGTGGTGGTGGAGGTGGTGTTTGGTGGGTGGTGGAGGTGGTGTTGGTGGTGGTGGTGGTGGAGGTGGTGTTTGGTGGTGGTGGTGGTGTTTTGGTGGTGGTGGAGGTGGTGTTTGGTGGTGGTGGAGGTGGTGTTTGGTGGTGGTGGAGGTGGTGTTTGGTGGTGGTGGAGGTGGTGTTTGGTGGTGGTGGAGGTAGGTGGTGGTGGTGGTGGTGGAGGTGTTTGGTGGTGGTGGAGGTGGTGGTGGTGGTTGGTGTGGTGGAGGTGGTGTTTGGTGGTGGTGGAGGTGGTGTTTGGTGGTGGTGGAGGTGGTGTTTGGTGGTGGTGGGAGGTGGTGGTGGTGTGTTGGTGGTGGTGGAGGTGTGTTTGGTGGTGGTGGAGGTGGTGTTTGGTGGTGGGTGGAGGTGGTGTTTGGTGGTGGTGGAGGAGTGTGGTGGTGGATGTGGGTGGTTGGAGGTGGTGTTTGGTGGTGGTGAGGTAGTGTTTGGTGGTGGGTGGAGTGGTGTTTGGTGGTGGTGGAGGTGGTGTTGGTGGTGGTGGAGGTGTGTTTGGTGGTGGTGGAGGTGGTGTTTGGTGGTGGTAGGTGGAGGTGTTTGGTGGTGGTGTGGGTGGTGGTGGTGTTTTGGTGTGGTGGGTGTGTTTGTGGGTGGTGGAGGTGATGTTTGGTGGTGGTGGAGGTGGTGTTTGGTGGTGGTGGAGGTGGTGTTTGGTTGGTGGTGGAGGTGGTGTTTGGTGGTGGTGGAGGTGGGTGCGTGTTTTGGTGGTGAGGTGTGGTGGTTAGGTGGTTAGGTTATGGTGTGGGGTTAGGTGGTTAAGGTGTTGGTGGTGTGGAGGAGGTGTTTGTGGTGGAGGTGGTGAGGTGGTGTTTGGTGGTGGTGGAGGTGGTGGTGGTGGTGGAGGTGTGTTTTGGTGGTGTGGAGGTGGTGGTGGTGGTGGAGGTGGTGTTTGGTGGTGGTGGAGGTGGGTGTTTGGTGGTGGTGTAGAGGTGGTGTTTGGTGGTGGTGGAGGTCGTGTTTAGTGGTAGTGGTGGGGGTGGTGTATGCTGATGATATCGTGTTGGTGGTGGGTGGTATGATAGTGGACCAGTGGTAATGTTGGAAGTACAGTGGTATTGATGAGGGTGACAACATCAATGATAATAATAATGATGATAAAAAAAGAAAGGGAAGGAAAGATCTTCATACCTGCGGAATAATTGTCAATCTTCTGCGTACGTCATGGAGACCAATTTTGGAAATATCAATCTTGTCAATTGTGATGTTTCCACTAGCAGCTTCAATGATGCGGAAAAGCGCCAATGTGAGTGAAGATTTCCCAGCACCAGTTCGACCAACAATACCAATCTGTAAAATTGCCCAATAGTTATTTGGTAAATATTTTAACAAAAATAAAGTTTTGGACAATACCAAAGGTAGCCATGGAAAATTCTAACTTGGCAAGAAGTGCATTACTTTGTACATTTGTCTTTCTCTTAATTTTCTTTCTACTTGTGTTTCTTTATACTTGTTTCTTCTCTGGTTGTGTCACAGAAATCATAATGCCGAAAATACGGACAGTGGGTTACATAAATAGCCAACATCTTAGGCGTGTGGTGTAAAGGCCGGGCACGCGTAAACACCCATGAGCAGGGTCAAGAATCTGTGACCCCCTTATACAAAGTTACTTAGTATAATATATATATATATATATATATATATATATATAATATATATATATATATATATATATATAATATATATATATTTTTTTTTTTTTTTTTTTTTTTTTTTTTTTTTTTTTTTTTTCTTTTTTTTTTCTTTTTTTTTTAATCTTATTTACCATTTTCCAATGTCCACATTTGTCTTTTATTTATTTTATCCAGATAGTAATAGCTTATTTTTCTTGCACAGACTCAATATCATCTCTCTATGTAGGATACAACTTCGTGCAAGTAAAAAAAATGGAACATTTGGTTATTTGTGTCATATATCTTACTTTTCCATAATTTTCAATATCCCGTAATACACTAGTCACAGCAGCCAGGAATACAAAGCTTGGCATGGAAATGGCATCCTCCAGCACTTTTCCAGTCACAGCTTACACATGTTACATTCCACATTTGTTTATTGATGGTAATAATAAAAAAGCCCCTTTCTAAATGCCAAATGAGTCTAATCACACTGCAAGAGGTTTGTACACTAGTGGAGAGTCTTTTTCATCATCCTGGCCTTTGCTAATGATGGCAAGTTCGTATCACCTGGCCCGTGGCCATGTTGTCTAATGACAGCATGTTCTCATTACTTGGCCATCGACCCAGATTTTACTATGATGGGAATGTAACGTCATCCGGATTGTAGGGGTTAATTATTTCTAATCAATTATTTTTCTTTAAAAGATAATTACATCTGACTGCAATATAATGAACACGAGAAGTTGCAACTGATATTAGTAGAAAAACTCCTAAAATAAAGAACCTACCCAATAAATTTGAAACAAGCTGAAAAAGTTATTCCCAAAGCAAATCTTTTAATGTTTTATTATGAAATAAACCATCTGTAGCAGGATCACAATAAAATAAAAAGGTTTCCTATTCATATTCATATGTTGTAAGGCCCTTCGCACACTGCCACTGGGTATTGTAGTTTTGCTTTGTCAATTTTACTTACACATAATTGGCTTCAAAAGTGCTTGTTACCACGGAGAAAATTATATGCATGGCAGCAACACATTATAGACAAACAGTCAAAACTACTCATCATCATAACGGTTGATTAAATAAATCATGTACCAAAGAGTAAATGAACCGCATGGTACTGAAGAGTAAGATTTGTAAAATACATGAGAAATGTTTCTCAGCTCAGACTATTACCTATAACAAAAATAAAAATTCTTACCTTCTCTCCTCCAGATATTTTACAATCAATATCCTTCACAACTAAATCGAGGCCTTCCCGATATCTTGTGGAATATTTATTGAACTCGACTACCCCGTGCTCTGGCCAGTACTGAAACAAGAATGTTGTCTGTTCACTTCAATTCTACAAAGCAAAAGGAGTCCTAGAATAAGAACCAGAAACATTTCAATATTTAGGATAAAAAATTCAAAATCATGAAGTTTTGTACAAAAAAGTATTTCTGCATGTCTTGATTCATCAACCTAAAGCAGGCTCCAGTATCTGAATGAAAATGCTGGATGACCTGGTTAAATCTGCATCATTTACCAGAAGTAAATTATCAAAACAACAAGACTCAGTTATACAATGTCTTCCCACTGTTCTTACAATAAATACACACAAACCCACAGTCATTCAAATTCTTTACATTTTCAAATCATCTACATGGTAAACTGAGATATAATAAACAAATAGTGTACTCACTTCCGGTGGCTTTTTCTCAGGGATTTCCCATTCCGCTTCTTGGGTGGTTTCAGTGTATTCTTTGATACGTTCTACAGCCACAATATTTGTCTCTACATCTGATGTCATTCTTACTAACCAGTTCAGGGTTTGTGTAACCTGTGTTAAGAATAAAAGAATTTGAGGTTCTATATCTTAAAGAAGGGATTGGTCTTAGCTTATTCATACTGATTCTTCAGTTACCTATGTTGAAGAATAGAAATAACAAGCTGGGTTACCTATAGTAAAGTGAAAAAAGAAATTTAAAAAAATGGATTTCCTGTGATACAGAACAGAGAAAGATTAGGTTATACATGAAAAAGAGTCAAAAGAGGGATTTGTGTTACTTTGAAAAATAGAACAATGTTATGTACATGAAGTGGAGCAATCAGTTACTTCTAAATTCAGTTAAATATGTGAATTCAAAACAAGTTACAAGAAGGATATTTGTGTCTGATAGATAATTCAGATTTTTTCTAAAACTTAATGGGTATTGATAAAATTAAAATATACATGACATATTCATACTTATTGTGCTTGGTTTTTTTCCTATGAAGAGTGCAAACTATGTTACTATACTAACAATAAAAAAAGAAATCCACTTACTGATAATGCGTAGCTGACTGAAAGACCAACGAGTCCACCACTTATAGTGTCTCGGCCAAGCACAGCAAACAGAGCAGCAAAGAAGGTCAGGATGTTACCAATGAACTCTAGACGAATTGCCAACCACCTGCAAGGTGATATGTTTGCGTGTATATAGCTCCAGCATAAAATTATCATTAGTCCTAAATGACAACAGTAACATTAAGAATTGTATCTGCAGCTACTTTAAAGGGACTGTCATGAAGAAGGGGGGGAAGGTCACCCAGTTGAAATTAAGCTAAGGGTAGTTTCATACTTATACAAGCCTCTTAAACTCTCCCTTCTTGAAGGTACAACTGCAAAATTGTAAGCTCCTAATCAACCAGCTTGGGCTTTATCCTAGGTTATATGCATGTTTGTGTGCATGTGTGACATGTGGATTTGAATATGCATGTGCATAGGTTTGTGTACATTAATACATGTATATCCAAGTAAGTATTTATGTGTGCACCTCTATACATACATACATGTACAATATGTAACTATATATATATACATATGGAAGTACTGTAATGCTCAATTTTAGGTATATTTAAAATGACTGAAATTGATAAATTTCATACTTTTATCTTTTTACACCTGCTAAATTGGAAAAATAATTATGGAAATGCATCATCTTACATTTTCTCAGATACAATAAAAAGTAGATACTTTGGATTTTCTTTCGATAAATAATATTAGTATGTTTTATGAAACATGGCTTTTGAAAATGAAAAAGTCAAACTTCTCAAATGCCACACTTCCAAAGGGGCAAGACTGGTAGTCTGATTTGATAATGGTTTGTTTTATTTGAAAGAACTATTTAATACTTCAGAACATTCCTTTTCAGATATTTTACTTTTTATGACTTCTTAATATTTTTCCCCTAATGAGAAAATTATTCATTACCACTGAAATGAAATTTTAAATTCATAAAACAACTGTTCTTAAGCACTGAATAGATCTCCCAGATGCAATACTTGAAAATCAAAGTGCATTATTAGTGTGGACTGCATGTTTAACCTCCTAGCAACAAGTAATGGTGATTTTAAAGTTCTTGCCCAACAGAATGGGAATATTCCCAAGAAAAAGGCTGGAAAATATTGAGAGCACTCAGATATATCTAAAGGGTAGCCCACATTAATGAGTTGCCTATCAATCCTACAACTTACAAAATCATTACTGTTAGGTATAAGGAATTCTATAAATCATTTCTCCAGTCATAACAATGCACTGACAAGCTTCCTAAAAACTTATTGCAAACATCCAGTTATCTATCTATTAACCTTAACCATTTCCTGCAAAAACACATAGTATCAAATACAAATAAACACAAATTCAGAACACCTTCATCAAATAACCCATTTCCTGCAA